GGCCCAGCTCTATCAGTCAAGCAGGCAAAATTCCCTCTTACTCAACTTTTTTGGTCTATTCAGGTCTTCAGTTGATTGGACGAGGCCAACTCACATCAGAGGGGGCAATCTGCATAACTCAGTCTGCTCATTCAAATGGATCCAGATGTTAATCTCATCCAGGAAACACCCTCACGGATACACCCAGAATAATGTTTTACCAAATGTTTGGGCACTGCATGGCCCAGTCAAGTTGACACATAAAATTAACCATCACAGGACTCATGAGTACTTTCACACAATCACCTCTGTGGCTGCTGGAAATTATTCTCTAGTAGTTTTATTTTTTCTGTAGGATAAATATGATTCATGCTTAGCATGAATAGTGTCCTACCCCTGCCCCCCCCACCCCACCCTTTTATAATCACCAGAAACACCTTATCTCTAGGTCTTAAATTTCTACCTCAAAAGATCACTTCTCTTTTAAATTACAAAGATTTTTAAGCTATTAACATCTGTATATATATTAATGTGTATATTTTTTCCTTAAGAGAAAGAAAATCAAGGTATTACAGAAAGGCAAATAATTTTTGTGTGTTAAATAAAGTACAGCTCTGCTTAGATCTGTCATCCTCCAAGTCAGAGACATGTTTTTATTGTCACAAAGAAGGGGCTATTCCTGACATCTAGTGAGTAGAGGCCAGGGGTGATGTTCAACATTCTAGAATGTCCAAGACAGTGTCCACCCAACAAAAAGAATCCTCAGACCCAAAATGCCAATAGTGCTAAGCTTGAGAAACTCTTATCTAAAGGAAAGAGTTTAGACCCCTTTAGAACAGAACTTGATCATTTGTTGGGAAAGAATGTCCAAACTACAAAGGATCTTAAAGCGTATAATCCAACTGCCTCTTTTTGTTGACAAGAAAACCACAATTCAGGATTTAAATGCCTGAGGTACTGCAGCTGGTCAACACAGAGGCAAGACTAGAATCATGTCTACTGACACTAGTACAAGACAGATTCTGGTCACTACACCCATAAAAGGAAAATCTGATTAACTACTGAATGCTGTCGAGTAATTTTTCAAAAGAGGAATAATTAAAAATGTGAAGTCTGTGTTAGACAGCCTATTAAATGGACCCCTACAATGATCCCTATATTTTGGTACACATGTCCTATGTATCCTTCTCCCCTTGTGTGTGGGCTGGACTTTAATGACATGCTTCCAACAAACAGAATATGACAGAAATGACGGATGTCACTTCCAAGACTAGGTTAGGAAAAGATTCTGGCTTCTCTACTAGGCATGATCTTCTTCTCTTTTTACATGGCATTCTCTAGAGAAGCTGGCTGCCAGTGACTTTGGAAGCAGATCCTAACCCAGTCAAGCCTTAAAGGGACTGCAGGTCTGTGGACACCCTGATGGCAGCCTCATAAGAAATTCTGAGCCAGGGTTATCAGCTGAGCTGGCCCAGATTCTTGACCCATAGAAACAATGAGGGAATAAAGATGCATCATTTTAAGGTTATTTATTTTGAGAAAGAGAGTGTGAGTGAGCATAAGCAGGGGAGGGGCAGAGAGAGACGGACAGAGAGAATCCCAAGCAGACTCTGCACTGTCAGCACAGAGCCCAATTCAGGCCTCGAACTTACAAACCATGAGATCATGACCTGAACTGGAACCAAGAATCAGCTACTTAACTGACTGAGACATTGAGATGCCCCAAAGATGCATAATTTTAATCCACTAAGTTTTGTAGTATTGATATGTTACTATTATTACAGTAAAAACATAAAAATCTTGAATTGTTTAAGAGGAGAATGATTCAAGTATTAGTGTATCTTTATACCCCAGAAATTTTCAAACCATCTTGGGACTATCTTACTGAATTGAATTGAATTGAATTGAACTGTATTGAATTGAATTGAATACAATGAAACTACCATTATAGAATTAACTCAAATGTCATTCAGCCTCTGGGCACATTTGTTGCTGATAAAATAATTTTAATTTGTATGTTTTTAACTCCTGAGTATTACAGGGAAAAAAAGGAAATAAAATCTGTGTTTGTTCATAATTCCTATTGTGTTTGTTTATACCCCAGAAGAAACTGTCACTTACAAAATAAAAGATAAAAGAAAATCTAGTTGGTATTGTTTTCACTTACATATAATGTATTTGCAGGGGAAATGCTGAAGACGCCCTAGAGATACTGAAAAAATACTTTACTACCCCCAAGTGGACACATATGTTATTTTTACAGAAATAAAATATAAAATTGCCATTGTTTTCCAACAACAACAAAAACATGCAGTTTTTGTTATGCAATGCTTATACATGAGACTCAGGATCTCAGATCTGGTAAGGACTTTAAAACTTACGAGGATGGATAGGAGGTGGGGGAGAATAGAAAATGGGTGATGGGCATTGAAGAGGACACTTGTTGGGATGAGTACTGGGTGTTGTATATAAGTGATGAACCACAGGAATCTAACCCAAAAACCAAGAGCACACTTTACACACTGTATGTTAGCCAATTTGATAATAAATTATATTAAAAATAAAAATAAAAATGAAGTTTAAAACCCTAGAACTGGTGGGATATTTGAATTCCCTCCACAACCTAACTTAGACTTGAACATTTTAGTTATGTAAGTTTGCTGCCTGCCAAGGAAGCTCATTCTTTGCAGATAGCTCTATTTTAGTTGCTCTAGTAAATCATCATTTCTCTTATAAACAGTCTGCAAACTAGTTAAGCTCTCTCATGTCATCTACTATTCATAATGTTCTTAATAATTTCCAGAAAAGGAGATGCTATAACTTTCCAGAAAGCATGTTCAGATAACCCAAAGAACTGAATTTTAGGCTTTCTGAGGTCTTACCCTAAAAGTTCCTCCAAATATTGGGGCACCTGGGTGGCTCAGTAAGTTAAGCATCTGACTCTTGATTTTGGGTCAGATCATGATCTGAACCACAGTTCATGAGCTTGATTCCCACGTTTGGTTCTGTACTGACCATGTGGAGCCTGCTTGAGATTCTCTCTCCCTCTCTCTCTGTCTCTCTCTGATTCACTCTCAATAAATAAATAGATAAATAGATAAACAAACTTAAAAAAAGACTCCTCCAATATTGCTTTTTTTTTTTTAATGAAAATGACTCAACTGTTCCTAACATACAAAGAATGCCTATAGTCTTTAATACTTCCAAATTGTCCTAGGTCTAATTTGTTAATCATGTCTCTGAGATTTAAGTTTGTCCAAATATCAAATGAAAGGTCTAGACTGACTGCCTACCCGTGTCAGAGGTGTCCTAAGAATATATTTGATTTTGGAGTAAAATTCAACATTAGTTCCCCAGCCTAGAGTTCTATTCCAACCCTCTCTGCTGAGTTGGGTAGGACTATATGTCAGCTTAAGGATTCCTTTTGTACCCACTAAATAAAGTAGGAAAGAAATATAATTGATATGCTAAATAAAAAAGACAAAATGGATCATATAAAATACTCACAATCACAGAAGGCAAAAAAAAAAAAAAAGAAGAAGAATGTCTACAAGAAACCCATGCTAAATGTAAAAATACATATAAATTAAAGAAATGAGTGGACATAAATAAACCATGCTAACACCAATTAGAATAAAGCAAGAATAACTATATTAATCTCAGACAAAACAGAATTCAAAGTAAGGAAAGTAATTACAAATAAAGAAGAGTGAAATTGGACTTAGCTTTGTTGTAAATATATGTTGTAAACTCTAGGAAAACCACTTAAAAAATGATAGTTAAAGAAAAGACTTCTTTTACTTCTCCAGCCAATGTCAAGATAGTTGTTCCTCAAAATATGACCAACTGACTCCCTTATTTGGAACTACTTGGGGGGTTTGTTAAAACAATGCAGATTCTTGAACCTGGTAAATAGAACCTCTAAGATGAAATACCAATACAGGAATATGAATTATTGTTATGAATCTAAGAATTCTTATACCTACTAAGGTCTGAGGACCACCAGCTCAGGCCAACTTTCTGTAAGAGTGTGTCCTAGATATTCATAGTGGTCGCACTATGAATTCCATAAAATACAAAAAATATAGTCAGAAAAATTAGGGAAAATCAGCAAATTATAAAGAAAGCATACACTACAGCACCCTCTCACCATGCCAGAGCACTTTTTTAATTGTCTCCACCAACAGCAAAAAAGGAGGAATTGCATGTGGAAAGGAATTATATATCAGATTGTTCAGAGTTCTGGAATACTGACTGGACCATTGTTAGTATCAGATACAAACACTGCACCTTGAAAGCATAATCAAGATTCTACTCTCTCTCCTACAATTCCATTCACAAACTTGTTTTAGTGTAGGCATGACTATGATCATTCTCTCTTCCTTCTACCTCCTCCAAGCACATAATTCAGGCTAGGGCCCGATCTGCAGAGCTGTCATATCGCTCCCCAACAATCCCCTTCAAACACCCTTTATCCAGGAGTCTAACATGAGATGGTAACACCCCAAGATTTAAATCAGATGGAGGGTCAATGTTCATAGCAGCACTTTCAACAATAGCCAAATCATGGAAAGAGCATAAATGTTCATCAACTGACGAATGGATCAAGAAGATGTGGTTTATATATACAATGGAATACTACATGGCAATGAAATCTGACCATTTGTAGCAATGTGGATGGAACTCAAGGGTATTATGCTGAGTGAAAGAAGTCAGGCAGAGAAAGACATATACCATGTTTTCACTCATATGTAGAACGGGAGAAACTTAACAGAGGACCACAGGGGAGGGGAAGGGGAAAAAATAGTTAAGGAGAGGGAGGGAGGCAAACCATAAGAGAGTCTTAAATACTGAGAACAAACTGAGGATTGATGGGGGGTGAGGAAGAGGGGGAAATGGGTGATGGGCATGGAGGTAGGCACTTGGGATGAGCACTGGGTGTTATATGGAAACCAACTTGACAATAAACTATATAAAAAAATAAAATAAATCAGGGGGAGAGTAGGAAGTACTTTATGTACCGTAAGTTAGAAGTTCTATGTTTCACTGTCACCATTTGCAGGAGAGCTCTGCAGTGAGGTACTGGACACTTGAGCAGCTATTAATAATATGGCATTTTTTCTCACTCATTCTTCTATGTAGATATTACTTGTCCAGGGACCTTATGGAAAGAAGAGGTGTCTTTAAGGCCAGAATTTAGGCACTTTTAGAAATCAAAACTATTTTACCATCTTAGTTCTCTAAGATTTTATTCTTAAACATGCAAAGTACCTTTTATCACCTTTTATAGACTCACATCCATAGTGAAATATTAAAGGCTCTGTAAAGTCCTACGGTGAGGAAATAAGCTTAATCTTGTTTAATTTGGAGACTCCATGCCTGTGTGTTCATTGTATCCCACTGAGGTAATGTCACTGGAGGCACATTTTGGGAAATGTTATTACAGACCCGGGGTTGAGCAATCTTTTCTGAAAAAGACCAGATAGTAAATATTTTAGAATTTTGAACGAAAAAATAGTTTAAACTAACTCCTTTTCATAACTACTCAACGCTGTTGTTGTAGCATTAAAACAGCCATTGACAATATGTAAACAAATTAGCATGGCTGTGGTCCAATAAATCTTTATTTACAATAATAGATAGTAAGCCAGATTTGGCCCATAACTCCTTGGTTTTTTGTTGATTTTGTTTTATTTTGTTTTGCTTTCAGTTTATTTTGAGAGAGAGAGGTAAAGCAGAAGTGTGGAAGGGCCAGAGAGAGAGGGAGAGGGAGGGAAAGAGAATCCCAAATAGACTGCGCACTGACAATGTGGAACCCAACATGGGGCTTAAACCCTCAAACCTGAGCTGAAGTCAGATGCTTAACTGACTGAGCCACTCTGGTGCCCCATGGCTTATAAGTTATTGTTTGCTGACTCTTAATAAAGACTAAAAACAGTTAAAAGATTTTTTTTTATATTTTCTCCTAGGTCCATAGCCTGATAATTTTTTTTTTAAGATCTTATTTCTTTGCTGAGGAAAAATACAAAAAGAATTGATTCTTCATTCTAAAGTAAATCAATTAGAGTTGGTTTTTTGCTTTATTTTTTATTGTTTTAATTCTCTCTCTCTCCTCCACTCTCACTGACCCTATCTCTCCCCTTCTATCCTTCTCCATCTCTATTTTTTTTCTAATCTTTAATTAAGAGTTCTGACCAGGACAACCGGCTTTCTGGAAAGTGAAATTCCAAAGCACTGGGCAGAAACCCAAAAAGGGAAGAATATCATGGCCAAGAAAGGATGGGAATAAGAAGGAACAATTCTAAAAGAGACAAAAGAGCCTTTGCCTAGGACAAATCTACAGGTTTTCCCTTTATGTTTTCCTCCAGAACTTACTCTTAGCAAGATGGGCTGGCTGTCCTTAGAGTCCCTTTGGACCTTTTATGGATTATCCCTGATCCATAGTGAGGTCTTTCTCCTCCCCAGCACAGAGAGAGATTAAAGCAGCAGGAAGAGAAGATAGAGGAGAGGGGAGGTCTTCTTAAATGAAGGACCTCAAACTTCCACTTAAGATTAGAGTGAATGACCAAGAGTTACATATAAATCCATTCCCTTCTATCTTTCTTTCTGAGCATTGGGTTTTGAATTTCAATCCATTAAGTAATCATTTTTATGCAAAAAATACTTTCTTTCTCCATTTATCTGCTCCTTTTTTATAGTAAAATTCCATCACAGTCTATATTCTCTGCCTCCACTTCATCTTCCATCCTTTCTTGGAATCACTCTGGTCAGGATTTTATCTGCATTACTCCAGGGAAACTATATTTATTAAGCCCACCAATGACTCAGGTGTCAATTAGCAGGTCCCCTTTTGTTCAACTCCTCCAAAGCATTCACTTATTTTGTCCTTCTCCTTATTGAAACACTATCTTGAGGTGCGTGGATGGCTTAGTTGGTTAAGCGTCTGACTCTTGATTTCACCTTAGGTCATGATCTCATGGTTTGTGAGATCGAGCACCACATGGGGCTCTGTACTGACAGTGAAGAGCCTACTTGGGATTCTCTCTCTCCCTCTCTCTCAGGCTCTCCCCTCCTCTCTCTCAAAACATTTTTTAAAAAAGAAAAAAAAAAGAAACACCTGGCTCCCTGCATGCTACACTCATCATTCATCTTCCAGCTACTTATCGAACATCTCTTCACTATCATGCTAATCCAAACCATCTTCCCTTGTCTGATCTATCAAACAGCTTCTTAACTAACTTCTTTTGGTTCCACTTAGCTCCCCCACAGACTATTCTCTACACACAATATGGAGTGATAGCTGATTTGATGCTTTAAAGAATCTTCATCTGTTCAAATCTATTAATCCGTACTAACACCCTTAGAACACAACCCAAAACTACTACATAGCCCACAGGGGCTCTGCATTAAATGTGGTCCCAATTCCACTCCATCCACATAACAGTCTTCTTCTAGCTCATACCATCTCAGGACTTTTGTGCTTGCTGTCCTCTCTGCCTATAGCATACTTTTCTCAGATGATTTATGGCTTATATCTTCACTTCATGCATCTCTCCATTCAAATATCACATTTCAGAAAAGCCCTCCCTGACCAACATTCCCTCTTCGCTACAATCTCCCTGATTCTACTTTAAATTTCTTCAAAATGCTTATTGCATCTTAATAATTGCATCTATTTATTTGTCAGGGGATCGGTCTGTCCCAGTAAAAGATAAATGTCACGAGGGCAGGGACTCTGTCTGTGTTGTTTACTACTCTATCTCCAGCATCTGGAACACTGCCTAGAACACAGATATTCAATAACTATTTGTTAAATGTGTTGAGCACTAGGATTTAAAATACTTACGAGACCTAATACTTAGCCTTAATAAGGCTCTTAAATCTAATTCAAAGTATGGAATAGGAAGTAATGGACAGTCATGCATACAATTACAAAGATAGAAGTCAGGGTAATTGCTATTAAAAAAAGAAAAAAAGAAAATTTTTTGAGAGTATGGTGAAGTTAGAAATTACCTCTAATTAGGCAAAGGCTTTACAGGGCAGATGACATTAAGCTGAACATTAGAGAATGTATAGTATTTTGTTTGAAAGAGGAGGAAGAAAGAATAGCGTAAAAAATGTGAGGGAGGTAAAAAAAAATGTCCATTCATTCACCTAATGAATATTTATTGATTTTCTGTTATGAGCTTGTTAAGCATTGTTCTTAAAGCGGGGGATTCAGTAATGAATGAAACAGAGAAGAATACGAATTACAGTCTCCAAAAGTTTACATTGTGGTGGGAAGAGTTAATCAATAGTAAAACAGACAAAGAAATATACCAAACAATTTCAAACCACAAAATAAGCAGTGTCATAACACACTGGGGGATGAGACACAGAACTCAAAAGGACTGTGCATGGAGTAGAGGCACTGCTTGGCTGAACTTGTTACCAACGCTCCCTCAGGAAAGTCTTGGGAACTAAAGGGTGAGAAGGAGCCAGGTTTACACCAAGACGAAGAAAAATCATACCAAGCCAAGGGCACAGACCACAGTCATTGGTATGCTTGCTGACCATCTCTGGTTCTCCGCCTCCAAGGACTGTACTTCTTTGTTTTTATATTAGATGGGGACTTGTGACTAATTCTAGCCTCTAAATTGAGAGCAGAAGTAATATGTATCACTTAATTGCTGATGTAAGATCTGCCAGTGTTTTCTTCCCTCTGGAACAACAACTAACAATTATTGGTAGGAAAGGTGGCTTATGCCATCATTTCATGTTCTCCAATGGACAGCTTGAAGCAGGGCCCCTGTGCTGATCCACAATGGACAGATAATAGGTATAGTTTTCATGTAGACATATGTTTTCATTCCTCTCGGGTAGATGTCTCAGAATGGAATTGCTCAGTCATGTAGTAACTCCATGTTTAACATTTTAAGAATCTGCCAAAGTTTTCCAAAGTGATTGTACCATTTTATGTTCCCACCAGCAGTGTATGAAGGTTCTAATTTTTTCTTTTTTTTTTTTGGCAATCTCACTGACACTCATTATTGTCTGTCTTTTCCATACCCTGGAATGGGTATGCAGTGGTATGTCACTGTGGTTTTGGCTTGTATGTCTTTAATGGCCAGTGAACACATGACTTAACGGGCACTGGGTAAGAACATATGCAAAGAGACCACTGAAGAGGCTCCTTCAAAAGTCCAGATGGTAAGTGATGGGCCAGGTGATAGTAATGAAGAGGGCGTGAACTGTAAACTCCTGTGTGGCACAAAGGATTTGCACAAACACTGTACTAAGAGATTTGACTAAACCTTAGCCTGGCCTCCACCTGTACTAGGCCATGTGCCTAAAGGTGACCCTAGAGCCAGGTGCTGAGTCTTTGCTCAAAGAAAACACAACGCTGCCAAACTACAAAATGTGCATTGTTCCAAGTTATACTGCCAAATCATTTCTGGTAATTCTCCACTTATTCCTTTCTGTAGTTTTCCATTTCCCACAGCCCCCAGTCCCTTTTTATCACCCTCCTTTCACTTCCCCCTGTCCCTCCTTGTTCCCTGTCATCACTTTAAAAACCTCAGTCACCTGTGTCTTAATTGGAGGTGAGCTCAGTTTATAGTAGGGTTTCTATCCCCTATTGAATAAAGTCTGAATAAAATCTGTTTTCACCTTTAAAAACTTTAATAAGTTTTGGTGCTGTTGCCAGAGAAGGAGATATTTTTCAGAAATAGAATGAAACACTGTGATTATAAGTCGGGAATGAAAGTAAGGAACATATCAAGGTTGACTTCCGGGGTTTGGGCTTGAGTGAGTTCTGAGTGGGCTTGGGTGGGTGAGGGTGCCATTTAATGATATGAGAAAATTTGGGGGGGTCATGAAAGGAGAGGAAGGAAAAATTCAACATCTCTGTTTTTTTTGTTGTTTTTTTTTAAACAAATAGTTTATTGTCAAATAGGTTTCCATATAACACCCAGTGCTCATCCCCACAAGTGCCCTCCACCATGCCCATCTCTTTTTTTTGTTTTAATTTTTTAAGTATATTTATTTATTTTGAGAGCAAGCAGGGGAAGGGAAAAGAGAGAGGGAGGGAGAAAGAATCCCTAGCAAGCTCTGCACCATCAACAGGGAGCCCAGCATGGGGCTCAAACCCACCAAATGTGAGATCATGACCTGAGTGAAACCAAGAGTCAGGCATTTAACTGAGTCACCCAGGTGCTCCCAAAAACTCTGTTTCGAAAATGGCATCTTACATTCTATTATAAATAAAGAGTTAGATGGGTATATAATTCTGAAACACAGAAAAGAACACAGGATACAAGTAAAGATTTGGAACTCATCTTCATCCATTTGATATTTAAAGCCATGAGGTAGATGAGATCATTGTAGGAGAATGTATAGGCAGAGAATGGTCTAGGACCAACCAGTGGAGAACTCTAACAATTAAAGGTAGGATTG